TTAAATTTCCAATTGGCATGGTCCCTATCAGAAAAGAGAGAACACAAGGAGTTACTGGCTCAAGACTCATATCCTGGGGCTCATTATTTATGAAAATCTGAAAGACATTCTTGGCTTCTCACAGCCCCAGCAAGATGTGAGGGTCTTTCAAAAGGGATACTTTTGTATTTCATTTTTTGATAAAGCTGCCATTGTTACAGTAATATTACAGTTCTCATATCCACCCAGTCACTGAGAAATGCCACAGTCCATTTTCTAAATGATGGGTTTCCTTTGGGTTGAATTTGAATTTTCTATGCTGAAATCTTACGTGTGCTATGATTAAGAGAAAGGCTTATTTGACAGAAGTCTTTGATCTCAAGATATTTCAGAAGTTCAATATTTTTAACTAAAGGGATGGTTTGAAATAAAGTGAAATTAAAATCGTTAATTAGACAAGAAATTAATCGAGCATGTAAATTCAATAAAGGAAAAAATAAACTGTTTATCTGGTTCATTACTACATAAGAAAACCATAGTACAGACAGTCCCGGGGTTAAGAATGTCTGACTTATGCACAACCCCTGCTTACAAACAAACTTCCATAAAGCCTACTATATGAAAAAAAATGCATGTAAAATACAAAGGCTTGTAATAAGGAATGCACACACCACTTTGTGACACTCATGAAAACATAGTATGTCTTCGAAGGTTCATTATTATTCTATTATTCTTATCATTATTATTATTAGTAGTAGTAGTAGTAGTAGTAGTAGTAGTAGTGTTACATGCCTACAAATTTAAAGACAAATTTAAAGACAGACTTGGGGAACGGATCTCGTTCATAAACTGGGGATTGCCTGTATAATGACATTTTGAAAGTATATTTCAGAAAAATTTTTGAATATTTCATCAAATACTTTCATGTTTGTATGAAAGATCAGCTAGCACTCTTTCATACGGACTACAAATGCAAGGTCAAAGAGGCAAATGATAACTCGAAAGTCAGTAAACACCATTTTCTGTGCCTTTCTGCATAAAGATATTTCTTGTAAAATTATCATGATGTCACCTTACTTTGAGTAAGTGAAGATATCTTTCTGATTAATAATGCCATAAAAATAATTTCATGCAAAGTAGCAAGGCAGGTATGAAGAATAAAAGAGCCATATATCTATGCATGACTAATAACTGAAAATAAAGCACAAAATACCACAAATTGCATAATAGTCAACAGTTACATATTTGTTAGTGAGAATTCCTGGAAATTTTGAAGTGGCTATTAAGGCATATTTCCATGGATACCAAAAGTTCATATAGCACACTCTTGTGATTAGTATTTTTATTTAGCACTGGGATGATGGTATAGTATTATTTAAGTTGCTTAGCTGACTGATTTGTCTAAAGTAACCGATATTGTTATGTGTTGTGATTCCATGTTTGTTTTATTAAGGCCAGATAAACAGTGTCACTGGGTTTTGTTTTTGTAGCAAAAGTTGTCCTTGAAATGTAATTTAGAGACACATCACAACTCAGTTTGAGACTGGAACAGATGGCTGGACTAACACTTCAGTTTTTTCATTGTTCCACTCTACCAGTACGTGGCAAGGCGCCAGCTTGTCATGCAGTTGTTTTTTCTGTCTCTTCAGGGCACCAGGTTCTTAAAAATGTTTCGGTTTTGGATTTGTGCTGTCTGGATACTGACGACAATCACCAGGATGCGGTCTCGCCTTTTCACTCCCACTCGCAGACACAACGTATAACAAAACATATCATGTCTGAATACGGAACAGGGAGATTTCAAATTGAGCATGATAACAAGGCATTTTAAACCTGCCAAATGAAGTCAACTACTATGCATGCCAATAGAAATACTTAATTATAAATGCTTAATCATAATTAATGTATGTGTTGTGATTTTATCTTAATTTTAATACTATAACAGTTCATTGGGGCCACACTGCACCAAGCTTAAGTGAAGCAGATCCTTATCTTTTGGTCTTGTCTTCATAAAATGGGTGGGTGGATTAATTCCACCCATCCATTTTTATCCAGTGTAGGGTAGCAGTAAAGCCTGGAGCCAGTCCCAGGAAACACGGAACATGAGGTTGGGGACACCTTGCATGGGAAGCCAGATAGGAGCACTCAGGTCAGGTTGGGGAGCTGCGCTGATGCAGTGCACTGCCACACCCACCACACAGCAAAACTCCTCAGGATCTCAGCTAGTGACCCTCCCAAGGCAGACGCACGGTCCAGTCCCACACTCTGGAATTGGAGCAGTAATTCTTCAAAAAAAGCTCTTGTCTGTGACCGAATATGATCGCTTCAGCACTACACTATCCCATATGGGCTTGGGACGATGGCTCTTACCGTATAACCTGATTCTGTACAATGAATGAAATCCAGAGGAAGTGGGTGAGGCAGTGTATTATCATTTTTGAGAGAAAACCATTTTAAGAACCTATATAACAATTGTGATTTTTTTCGTTTTTATCCACATCATAGAAGTCACATACAAATGTGATTTTAAATTATGAGCTGACAAAGACGGACATGGTAATTTAGCAAAAAATCATATGGCTGTCCATAGCAACAATAAAACATTAGTCAGCATCATTATGAGACTATACCCTCTATAAATATTTTGATTCTGAAAACATAAAATTGAGAGTCATCAGTTGTTCATGATTTCGTTAGAGAAATAATTCATACACAGAAAATCAATCAGTTCTGCATCAAAATATACATAAATCTGAACTGTCAGTTAATAAATCTGATTTAGAAACATTTTTTTTGAGTTGGAAACGTTTTTTGGAAACACACACTGACCTGGACCGAGTTATATGTGGTTCGAAAACAGACAAATCTGTCTGATGTGTAGCCTCTGGCAAAGCCCCCGCCCCAGATGGCCAAAGTATCACATTTTTATACTTTCTCAGCCTCTTCAGGCTACAATCTGGACTAGGTTGAACAATACAGTTGACACATAGCTTATCCCATCATTAAAAATGGTGACAGTGTGTCTCTTTGCCAAAGAAGGTAAGAACCCACCAGACATGGGCTGACATCTACTATTAAAACTGAAATTCTGATTTGGAGAATTTTGCTTGTACCAGACTGGCTATGGCACAACCAATTATCTTCTAATAATACTAATTATCAGCATATCTCTAATAATACTAATTCTAAGAACTATCATCATATCTGAAGGCTACCCAGACTAATATCTATCAGTTACTAGATTCTCTCAGTGAGCAAGCACTATCCACCACTAATCTCTAATTATAAATTCCTCAATATTAGTTTAAGATTTATAATAAGTTTTGGAAGTTATTTTAAAATATCCAAGAATAAAATACAAATCCGGGCTAGTCTACGCAAAATAAAAGCACAGAAAAAAAAAATACATTTTTTGCATCAGAATTGCACACAGCAAGAACGACTGGGGGATTATTAATGCATTTTATAACCTCAGCGTGACTTCTTTGAACTTACATTTTATCCACTTGTAGATATATTTTCGGAAACTGCTCAGCAATTTGAATATATTACAGCAGTGTTTCCCAATCTGGTCCTCAGGGACCAACAGATGGTCCATGTTTTTACTCCCTCGCAGCTCCTTGTGGGTCCCCGATGACCAGCTCAAGAAGCACAGTATTAAAGTATTACTACTATTGAGATATACATCCAGCACTTCATGAAATGGAGCTCTCATTTAGTTCTTTCATGATAATGCCATTAGAAGCTTTCAGCAGCTTCATGGCAAAGGCCTGTACAGGTACATACAAGGAGTTTGGAGAGAGAGAGCTGAAAGATGTTTTGGAAGACCATTCATCGCCTCAGGAGGGGAGACTGTAAGTTGTAGAAGGACTACTTTGAGGTGCAGTTATGCCGTCTCATCAAGAGGCAGTGCTGGACACTTCTGGAGGACCTTACTTGCAGCTGAAGGTGCTATGGTGGTCAGAGGCCTCCTTAATAGAATGGTTGCAAGGATGGGTGCAACCAGAGAAGTTCAGAGATGCTGACAGCACTGGTCGTCATTGGGATGTCATGGCCAATGCATCCCATCAGTTACCTGTTTCCCCATAAGGTTTGAGAGGCCGTCAGACAGAAAACCCCAAGCTGCGATTCGGGTTCAGCATGTTCCATCTTGGAAAGCTAATGAACATGCTTTAGCCAAATGCTTGTAGTACAGTAGTCCTCAGGGACCAACAGATGGTCCATGTTTTTAGCCATGCTTTAGCCAAATGCTTGTACAGAAGTGACAGGTTTTGTGACCTGTTTGGTTTTTTTGTCTTTTAGTTCAGGGTTCCCCTTGCCTCCACCAACTACCTGCCTCTTTGTTGAACTTCCAGTCCAATTGTTTGACCCAGATACTGGTGCCTACCTCTTTTTGTGGTGTCCTGTCTGAAAGAGGCAAAGCTCTTTGGGCTTACCTGGTAACCTGATAACCTGGTAGTGTGCTTTGATGGTTTGTTTTTCATCTTACATACATTGCGTACATTTTACAGTCCCATTATGACAAAATCAGTGAATGTGAATGTCATTGATTCATGTTGTGACTAAGCAATGTTCAAGAACAAGACAGTTAAGTGCAGAGTTTTTTTGGATTGAAGGTGATCTTACACAGTGGTGATGTAACAGGTATAAAGTCCTTCATTTAATCTTACAAGCATTTCTTTGGCTTAAATTTTTGTTTCACCCATATGTGCCTGACCTGTCCAGCTCTTGGGAGTGTGGGAGTTCTGCTGCTCTAGCATGGTGCCATGTCATCCATAGAACTGGCATGTGAAACAGTGGAAGCCATCATCTGGCTTCTTTATTCAAGGGGAACAGGCATTTATTCACTCATAAGACTGATAAAAAATATAGATGATTAAATTAGGGGTAAAATGCATTAAACAGGGATTATGAGTCACTGAAGTGGATACAAACATTCAACCTTGGCTAATGAAAACAAATTTGAGTCATCCTGCCTCCACAAAAGATAACTGATACCATATTTTTTGAGATGATGTTTATTGAAAGTGGTGCAAATAGGCCACATATTTTAACATACCACCATAACAATGGATACCACACAAACAGTTTGTAAAATTACAGTAAATAAAGATATATTAATGTAAGCTGTAAGAAAAAAGGACATTATTAATTCCAGTTTTTTGCTGGTTTTGGTTTTGGGATATTAGTGATCAAAGTTCTTCACTAAGCCGGTCATGACTAAATAAATCTTATGAAGTTGTATTAATTCTTTCATTTTAAATAGTTTATAATGTAAAGACTTCATTCCTACAAGTTTTGCCTCTACATATCAAACAGCTATGGAACTAATTTGAATGTGTTTCTGGATCCCTGCCAGATCCCTAAAACACTTCTTGACATTGCACACATCTTCACCGCATCTGCAAGAGGTTTATGTATATGTGTCTAAAACTTTATGGTGCCTCCAGGTGAAATACTGCAGCCATTTTCCTCTGCCTCTTGGAGCTGCAGAGCCATTTTATAGTCAGATATTGCCAGCTCAGTTAAGCCTAGATGGCCACGGATGTCAGCCCGGAGCTTGTATATCAGAGCATCATTAGGCAGGAGCTGCAGTGCTGAAAAATAACAATAAACACACACACACACATACACACACGCACACACACACACACACACACACAAAGCGGCATCATGTTACCAGACTTATGAAAAGCTAAAGCACGCACAAACTCTAATTACCTGACGGGAAACTTTAACGTCAATTGTTACTTGATTAGGATGGAGTATATATGACCATCGGAATGGTGCATAGTCAGGGCGCCTTAAAAGGTGGGGAAGTCAGGACGATTCAAAGAGCCCCTGAATGACAGGCCATAAACATTTTGGAACCTAACTGGATTGTTCTGGGTTGGGGAGACAATATGAGCCGTGAGACTGGCCAGGGAGACTGGTCAGGGAGACTGGCCAGACCTGACAGTAGATTTCACTCTGTTTAAACCGAACACAAGTAATGATGAGTCTGCGCTGCATTGCATCGGTGACCCAGTGAAAGACAGAGACTCGTGTGCCTGAGTCTCTGACGCAGAATAACAAACTCATGATGAGTAGTCCAGCGTAAAAGCTTCCTTTCTGACACGAGGAGAATGAACTTTTCAGATATTCCATGGGTACTATGGTAACCGGAACTGCCTCCCTTTTTCAGCGGCAATAACACAAATGTGAATTGTGCATCTGCTAAATCTGTGCTATTTGGTTTATACTTATATAAACAAAAGTACTACTTCATGCATGGAGGCTCAATGCATAGTTATATTTCTCTTTTCAAAACACAATATTATAACAGAATTATGGGTTATGTTTGCTGTTTGCCATAAATTGCATAACCAATAACAACTTTTTTATGTTAGACTCTATTTTGTTGCTAACAAGGATCTGATACAGAAAAACATGATGTTACCACAAAGAAAATTTTAAAATATCACACATTTACTCCTTTTAAATAGTCTTTTAATATTCAAAATTAGTCTTTGCTTAAGGGTTTAATTATGTAAGTAAGGTAGTATTTCTGTCACATACCATCCTACTCACAAACATCTGAATCTTTTCGCAGTCATTAGGCTGAAACAGGTTATTTATGGGTTCAGTGAATGATAAACACTCTATATAACATGGATAGAATGAAGACCAGGAGGATTCTACCTAGATATGGATGTCCTTCAAAAATCTCCCACAGAGCAACAAGAAAAAAACCATGCAGGATGTCCAAAACCTCATCCAAGAATCTCCTGGCCTGCCATGCTGCAGACAATGCCTCTGCTCATACAGCAACACAACAAAACAAACAAGATAGCAACAGCAATCATGAGAGTTTGGCCAGAAAATAAAACTCATAAAGGAGCATTGTTGCCTTTCTTTTTTAGAAAAATGTTATTCAAACAAATGAGTCTAAAATGTTTTTTTCAAATTCTATGTTTGGCACAAAAAACTTTATTCCAACTATCTAGAACAGCGAGGAAAGCGTCATGATTTAGGGTTGATGCCTATGATGAACACAGATGACTTGTCATTATTAAAGGAACAAGGAATTCTGAGTCATACCAAAATATGCCAGAGGAGACTGTCAGCCAAAAGCTAACAATCATGATTTGCTTATTTTCATTAGAAACAGTAAGGCAAGAGCGGCTAAATTTCATTGCTGACCCAGAAAGTCATTGTTGCATTTGTAATTGTAAACTACCAGCTTTATGGACACACAACTGATTACATTCAGCAGCAAGAGTTTCAGCTTTGCTTCAACAGTCTGATTTTTGTGGAGAAATTCATACTCTAAGCAGAGCATCTGGTGAGTTAAAGTCTGACAGGCGGAATCCAAGTGGCAGCTGATAAGATCTTTATTTCTGTACTCATTGTCACTATAAAGCAGACCAGTTAATTAACTGTCTGACACATGTGCAAGTATGTGTATGAATGTATTATGTGTAGAATTTGCAGATATATAAACCATTATACTAGAAGTATTAAGGTTTTAGATAGAATGCAAGCTATTTTTTTTTCATCTTCTGTACTCCAAACAGATTGGCTGTGAAAGATAACTGAACCAATCTGGCAGGATGAGGGTTGCTATAAGAATTTTTAATGGCCTACTGGGCTTTCTGTCTTGGAGGGCGCCTGGGGGGTGAAAATGTTCTGAAAGATAGCTGCTTTTTTCTCGTCAGTGATCGGTACACGTGAAAGATGTCATTTGAGGGGCCATCAACAGAAATGTGTCACAGAGAGGAATCCGGCAATCACTGTTATGGCATGTGGTCATACCTGAGCATTCGTCCAACTTCCAATCGCTTATACGGGCCGGGGTCACAGAGGCCCAGGGCAGCAGACCCCAGACGGAAGGCCAGGCCATCAAGTGGCACAGGCAGACACTCACGCAGTCATAGACTATGGACGCTTCATATAACTGCATGACTTTGGACTGCAGGGGAAAATTCCACACACATACCACCACCATGGGGCCCATTCCAGAGTATATAATAATAATGATGTCCTGGATATAAAACAGGGCTCTCAAGTTTTGAAGACAGGCAAGAGTGACATTCCATAGGATGCCTTTTCATTGGTTGTTGTGTTGCATTTTACCCAGATACAATAGTACTATTTTCTGATTGGCTATTGTGTAGGCCCTTTCTTTTTTTTGATTGGCTGGTAAGTGACAAGCTCTAATGGTGCGTTCGTTCTCTCCAAATCGGAACTCGGATGAAAACGTCACGAAAAACGTCACTTCCCGTCAGAAACACGCCTCTTTTTATTTTGTTGTCCGAGTTGCCCCTGTGACGAAATTTCAACATGGTGGCTTACACACTCAGCAGTAATTCTATTTTATAAATCTTTAAAAATGTTTATTTTGTTAAATGTTATAAATGTAATTGCACGTGGTCGATTTAGAGAATACCATATCATGACCGTAAACAGTATCCAGGCATGCAGTATGAGTTTTTTACCAGACTTATTAGTATCTTTGGTTTGTTTGTAGTTTGTTTGCCTCTTGAAAAAAGAATATCGCTATGAATGTACTAAAATATTTTATAAAGCTTTTAAGGTGGTTTGACTAGTTCGTATTTCTTGTTTGTTTGTCTCTCGGAAAAAATAATCTCACTTCAAATCTGCTAAAATATTAAGCAACAACACACAGCAGCAAGTTCATGGAGGCAGCCATGTTTGTTCTGAGATGTGGGTAGCTCGAACGGGAGATTGTCGGGTGTGATGTCACTCAACTCAGAATTTCAGAAGTTCCGAGAGAAAAACGAACGCACCATTAGACTCCAGCAGAGACGCACTTGTTTTATAGTGAGGCGCTAATGTGCCGCGGTCTGAGAAATATTGGGCGCTGCGGCATATTACCCTACAAATTATTTTTACGCGTGAGAAATACAATGTGTGGCGGGAGTACATGACAAAAGACTGAAAAGAGTGACTGTCACTCTCAATGCGTGACATTTGAGAGCTCTGATAAAGTTATTGGTACCAGTGCATTCTGGTTTTATACATGTACCTATTTGTAGTAAAACATATTTTCAAAGGGGCCTTATTATGGTTTTCTAGTTTTTCCATTTCCTTTTTTTAAAAAGGACACTTACCTGTACAGTTTAATTTATTTTTAGCTACACTACTGCACATTTGGTAATTTGGTAACTTGCTAAACTGGTTTATTGTTTTTCACTGTTTTTTATTGTTTATTGCAATATTTCTGTACTAGTACTTGTACTTACTTTCACTTTACTTTGCTTTCTCCTTTTCTCCCTTAACTGGTTGTTAAGTAACTGCAGAAAAAATAATTTCCCTCCAGGGATCAATAAAGTTTTCCTGATTCTGATTCTGTTTTGTAGCTTTAAGTGCATGGGAATGGTCTGCAAAGTCTTACGGCCCAAAGTACACACCAAAGGGAGTAACTCTCACCTCATAACACAATTCTTATTGGCCAGCTACCTGCAAGCTTGGCATGCCCTCACACAGAATGCAGCCTGTGCAGCAACTTTTTCCATCAGGAATGTAATGTATAGGGCATGCTGACCAATTAGGCAAGTTGACCAATCAGAGCACATTGGGCTCATTGGGGATGAGGCTAAAAGCTCTAACAGAGCATTTCAGAAAGAGTTATATAATGTAAATGAGCATAATAGGGCCCCTATCATACTTGAGGGAGTGGTATGGTTAGTACTGTAGCTTCACACCAGATCTGCTTGTAGCCCCAGGCTTCATGTGTCTGCAGTTTCCGTGTTCCTACAGTATGTTGGCATGTTCCATGTCCTTCCGGGTTTCCCCTCACAGATCAAAGACATGTAGTTATGCGAATTGCCCTGCAATGGCCTGACATCCTGTTCGGGGTGCTTCCTGCTTCCTGGAATATGCTCACCCTGACACTGAACAGGAAAATGTGTATGGAAGGAGATCATATTTGACCCTTTGGAAATGTGCCTCCGAAATGTGCCTTTCAAATAACTTGGTCAGACCAGCAATCCAGCTGTTTTGATATAGCCACTTTTCACTGAAAAGAACACTCTCTTAAAGATGAGAAACAACCACAAACTGTAAATAAAAAAACCATATGGAAGATTTAAGAAGATAGATGGCAAACCTTGCGTGAGGTCCTTCTCTGCGAGATGGTATCTATTCAGAGAGCAGTAGACATTGGCTCTGTTGAAGAAGATATGGGAGTTTAAAGGGTTGATGCCTAGGGCCATGGAGAAGTCCTGCAGAGCTTCTGGAATCCTCTGAAGCATGGCGTGTGCAATGGCTCGATTCAGCAGTGCCGAGTCATCGCTGGAGCCCAGCTCAAGGGCACGAGTGTAGAACTGACAAGCCTGCAGCACAACACAAGAGCGACCAGGAATCAGATTTTCAATTTAACAACCTCCCCATGCCCCATTCCCAAAGCCAGCCTGTCCCCTTCTCATTAGGCTTATCAACACGTTTGACAGACACAGTCAGGTGCCGTGAGTCATGGGGTTATCTAACGTGTTTGCCGGTCACAGGCGTGCTGTTATGTCTGATGAGATGAGGCGGTGACAGAGCTGAAATCCTGTCATCCAACAGTACATCATAATCTGCTTCTCTGCTCCAGATTCAATAAACATCGCAATAATTGTTAAGTAAGTGTAATAATAGTAGTAATAATAACCAAGCGATTCTATTAGCTTGACATACATCACCACAGGTAAGAAACTACTAAAATGACATTTTTTTTCTGTAGTGATTTTACTTTTTTTGGGAAAAGTCTAATGATGAGGTCAGAATGTGCCTCATCTGGATTTGTCTTTGTGGAAGAATAAAAAGCTCCAGGTGATGTACAATAATTTATCTAAGTGTGCAACCAACTACCAAAAGTACTGTTTCTTCATATTCACTGTGTAATAGTGCCAAATACAAATGGAAATGCTGTAAGACTTCACATACATCGAAGCAGAGTTTACTAAAAGCCATAGCATACACATATTACGATTGAAGCAAATATAGCTAAACTTAAACCTCTAAATACTACAGCATATTAAAATTACAATGGAGAGACCAGAGGTATGATAGGTGTCGCAGCTGGGCACTGATCTGCTCTTATTTAAATGAGGCACTTACCTGTTCAAACTGCCTGTTGTAAAAATAAAGGTTTGCTGCATTGAAAAAGGCCGGGGCACAGTCTGGGTTAAGTGAGATGGCCTTCTGATAGTCTTTCATGGCGCTGGCCCTGTCACCCAGAAACTGACGTATAACTCCACGGTTTGTGTGCAGTAGATCAGATAGCGGATAATGCTGTAATAAAAGCACAGGGAAAGGCACACTCATTATGACAGACAACAATAGAGTAATGAAGGCGACTCATTCAATGCGAGGGCATAGTGCCCTACACAATTATTGGCACCCCTTGTAAAGGGTTAGAAAAAATCCACCTTTTGGTGAAGTAGCTTCATGTTACACTGAAAAATTTGAAAAATCCAACCTTTCATTGAAACAAACGTAATCAAAGAAAAAGAAATCTGTCATCAAGAAATAATTATTTTCTACAAAAATGCAAAGGGCAGATTGGTGGCTCTGAGGATCTGTCCCAGTAATCAGAAGGTTGCTGGTTCGAATCCTGTGAATGCCATGAGTGCTCCTACTCTGTTAGGGTCTTGAGTAATGCCCTTAACTGGCAACTACTGGGTATGACATTAGTCTACATCAAGCCCCATAAGGAGGTCCTCCAACTTACAGAGAAAATTGGGGGCTGGTGGCAGGACTTGCACTCCACCCTCCAGAAAAAACTCACACTGATTTATTTGGACGGGTGTGGTGCTGACCTGCTGCTTAGCTGCACTCAGGTTCTCATTCCTGAGGTGGTTTGTCATGTGGTGGATGCCGTAAGCACAGTGTGCTCCTTACTTTTTTACAAATCTTTATAAGGGGTGCCAATGTATTACTGCTGCTTCAGAGCTCCCAGGTCGCATTTTTAAATGCAGTTTGTGTGGAGCTCGCATGGGTTTCTCCCTCAATCCAAATTCAAGCAAAGAAGAGGAATCGGTGACTCGAAATCGCTTATGCGTATCTGAGCGAGAGAGTGAGTATGTGTGTGTGTGTATGTGCAAATGGCCTGCAATGAACCGGCATCCTGTCCAAAAGCTTGGACTAGCCTGCTCAATGGGATCTGGCACATGGATACATGACATTTTCCAGTGAAAACACACATTCTCTGCTCATATAATAATTTAGTGCTCATGACCAACTGGAGAATGTTTCTGAAACCACAGTGGGTGGGATTACTGTCAGCCAATCACTGACAGATTTAACTCATTTGGTTAGCTGCCACTACCATCATTTGACTTATCAGGCTCTCAGTTAATCAACATTAGTTTCAAAACCTTATTTCTCCCATCGTAATTAATAAAGAATCCCTAAAATTGTCCTACAGTATATGTGACTGGTCCCGAACATCCCAACCAAAATCCGTGAGAACATTGTGGAACCGTGCAGCAAAGCTGACAGCGTAGATGTGGATCCTGTGCGGCTCAGACACTGCCAGCGCTAAATTAACACAGCAATTTTGCTGCCACGTGGGTGGCTGGCATGTGAGCAGAATACACTGCTTCTCACAGTTCAACAGAAGTGCAGTGCAAAAATATCTGAACATCCATAAGAGGGAGAAAAAACCATTTCAAGGCTATGCGGTTCTATGCAGCATAAATGATATCAATAGAGAGGGCTGGACTTTGACCAAGAGGGTCTATGGTTTGAGTATCACAAGTATAATTCTCTACAGGCTTAGGCTTCTATAAAGCCATGTGCCGAGCAAATTATGTCATTTAAAATAGCCACACATCAGTATACTAATTCGCCGGTTAAATGCAACGCCGATTTTAAATGTGAAAAGCTGTGTGCTTTAACGATTATTGGATTACCTTTTTATTCATAAGGTACAGCAGAAAAGAAATATTTATTTGCACAAGCAGACCGGAGTACTTCTTTTCATGCATTTAAGCCTGCCCTCTACTTTGAGACATACTGTATATATGTGAGAGCAAATCTTTGGGTCCTAGCACAGAGTGAGCCATTTGTCCAGTGCCCATTTGTCATTGGATAAGGGCCTCGCTCAAGGGTCCAGTGGCAATGCAATTATGCTGTTGGGTACGCGAACTGAACCAACACCCTCCCACTCACAAGCACAGAAGTCCAACCTGCTGAGCCATACACTGGTCCCAAAGAACAAATTGGACAAATGAAGGTACTTTGCTGCATCAGTAAACATGACAACTGCAAGAAATTAGCAAAAAATAATGCTGATGAAAAAAAGTGAATATGGATATAATAACAGGATCAGGGGGCTGACACAGGCATCTGATTGGCTGTTTTGTGGCGGCTCTTGGCTGGTACCTTCAGGGCAGTGTTGATGTCATGGAAGGCCCCATAGCTGTTCTTCATCCGTAAATTGACAAGAGCACGGCCCTCGAATGCTTCCCAGCACCCCGGCTCCAAGTCAATGGCTACCGTGAACTGATTCCACGCACTTTGGAAGGACCCAAAATCCTTGGAGAAGCAAAGGACTGGACAGAATGAGAACTGAAAAAATAATCTATCCAATAATATAGCAATTGTCCTTTCAGTGTTCAAGCTCTCAGGTGGGCTATGTTCTCTGACACTATGAGAGACTAAATAAGTGCATTACAGACATGATATCATCCTTTTTTTTTTTACTGTGACAGCACTTGAAATAAGATTTAAAAAGCAACCAAACTGTGTCACCCCTGTACAAAGAGCCGAATATTTTATAAAAAATTGGACATACCACTGCAAAAAAGAAAAAATTAAAATTCATCCATAGAAGCTTTAACATTTACAACAGACAACATCAAGCTGCTACCCCACTAACATCATCTCTATCTATCAACCTGCTCTCTTCATGTCCTTGAAAAAAACTGTTGACACATTACTGTGTAGCTAATTTCCCTTTCAGTTTCCTCATGTATCCTAGCAACATGCTGGACTGCTTACAAAATGGCATGAAATGCACTGTGTTTGTGGTGAAACCGTGGAGAGAGTGCCAAAGAAACGCTTATCTCCCGGCTCGTATTTATTTACGCATTTGAATGATCATTTATGACGCTTCCTCGCATCGAAAATGCACCCAGCTACATCAACATCACCAAGTGTTATGATTGAATGCATAAAAATGCAAATCTACATCTAATACAATAGCTATGCAATCTGAACTTGAGGTAAACAGATTGCTCATGGAAAGGGCATGTAGTAGGACAACAACCCAGGATAGCTGCTTTACTTTTCAACCAGTTTTGATGATAAAGCTGCTTTAGCCTCAACAAGCTGTTATAAACACAAGCCTAAGAATAAAACCGAATGACAATGGTGTAAACATCCTGTCACCCTTGAATTCAGTTTGCATGGAGGAAGTACCTGTAGGTTGTACCCAAGGCTCACACGAGCTGCAGGAGAGAGTGGATTGAGGTGCAGGGCAGCCAGGAAATCCCTCTGGGCTCGTTTGTCAGCCTCAGCGTGGCCGTAGTCCATGAGCGTGTTCCCCCTCCCGATGTAGGCTTCTGGAAACAAGGGCTTGAGTCTCACTGCCTCGCTGTAGGTTCCCACCGAGTCCTGAAGATTGCCCAGCCTAATTAAAAGAGTGTGTGGTGTAAAATAATCCATACGGATCCAACTCATATATAAGTCTGGGTCAATAACATAATTATATTCCCCAAACACGGAACTGAGGGAGCAGGACTCTGTGGAAGGTTGAGGACAAGTATCTCTCACCAAGTCAAACTCCCGAGTCATGTAAAGTCAGAAGACTACCATAAGAAGCCCAGGACATTTGTCTCCCTGGATGGGATGCCAGTCCATTGCAGGACATACACTCACACATGGGCAATTTAGAGACACCATTTCACCTAAACTGCGTATTTTTGGACTGTGGGAGGAAACCAGAGTACCAGGTAGAAACCTATTCAAATAGTGGGGGAAGATGTCAACTCCACACTCAGAGCCACTCTACATCACATAATGCTACAGGCAAAACCATACATAAGGGCAATGCAGAGATTCCAATTAGCTGGACTGTCTCTGCACCGGGGGGGAACCCAGTGTAACATGAGGAGAACATGTAAATTCCACATGCAGTGCTGTGTAGTAATCGATTACATGTAATCTGGATTACGTAATCTGATTACAAAATTCAAATACTTGTAATTAGAATAAATTACATTTTAATTACATTTTTAATCAGATTATAGTTACCTTTTTAAGGAATACTGTTTTTAAAAATTACATTTTTAATAAGGCCTATACAAACGTGAATAAATCCGTTTCTAATAGTGTCCATGTACTGTAGCCTGTTACTGGGTAAACGTCAAAATTACTGCCAACAGTTTCGACAGAATGGAGGAGGACACACATGATCAGATGCTTGTGAGAGCAGCAGGCAAGATGAAGATGTCTGCGTTTCACCATTAGTGTACAGATGTAGACATCATTTTATGCTTGTGCACACCCAAAGATAACAGTCCTATACAATCTTTGTTTTCCGAAAGCCAAAGTGTATCTTACAGTGACGATTTAAAAAAATATATATATTTGGAGATACGTTTTCCATGACCTTGATTGCTAGCTAGCTAATGTTAGGTGTATCTAGCTGGCTACTAGCTAGCTAGTGGGCTGCAGTTTAACTAGCTAGCTAGCTCACTAATGGCAGTTATTTACTATCATGTAATGTTGGTCAAATATTTCATTGCAATAATTTTTTTCACTTGATATCAATGATTATCACGATAAAATTTAAGTCATAATTTCTTTACTTCAATGCTCCATTGTAGTTTAAAATTCCAATTAGGATTCCCCTTAAGAAGATTTAAAACATGAAAAAAGACAAACTGAATGAACTGTAAATTGAAATCTAATTTTAATAAAAAAGTCATACAAAAACTCTTTTGTCATAGGGCGTAACGGTAGAAAACACAGACTGTTTGCTGATGGGCTTTTTCTCTGACTGCCTTGCTGCTAGTTCCAGGGAACCTGATTGATGTTGATGGTGGATTCCCACTGAAAAATAAAATGCACCCTGAACCAATATGGGATGCAATTTGTCCAGTATTTCCAATTTGCCCCCCCACCACCACTCAGCAAATTCATTGGGGACTCCTGGGGGCGCTGGTGTCCCATATTTCTTCAGATTGTGACTCTAAGCAATTGCATGTTCTACTGGATCGTAAAGTCGTAGGTAGTCAAAGGAAATGTTTAAAGCTATTTTTCTAGTAAGTACATACAGTACTGTATTAGGCAGTCCAAAGAAATGTTTAAAGCTGTTTATCTGGGTAGCAAGTGTACTTTGGCTTAGAACAAAAAACACAATTTAACATTAGAACATGTGCAAATTAAGAGTAACACAATAAAATCTAGTAATAATTTCTTCTGTTTTCTAAAAAGTTACTGATATCTAGTTGGATGGCTAGATGAACACCGCTTCAGTTCCCAAACCTCTCCTCAGGGGGCACCCCAGCCATTCCATGATTTTGTTAAATTTCACCAACAGCTCAATTAAATAATTAAATGAATTGGTTTGAAAAGTCAGTGACAGATTGACTAGCTGTATGAGGTGTGCTAGTGGCCAAGTCAAAAAATACATGGCTGCACTGGACGGCCGCTGCAAATACTGGGGTGATTTTAGCAGAGGTTCTGAAATGGCTAAGCTGACACACTTTGACAGGCATAATATCATAGTCTTACACCAACACGAGGATAATCTAAACATCATTTTCTTTGCCTGCCTAAGACTTTTGCACAGTACTGTATTTGCTCAGAAAGCATACTATTTGACATTAGAGCATATGCAAATTGAGTAACGCCATAAAAACTAACAGAAATATCGTTTGTTCTCCAAAAAGTCACTGAAATTTCACCACCAGCTCACTTAATTAACCTAATTAGCACAAAAAAAGTTAACAAGGTGTCAATTAGTAGAACATGGTTTGCTAGTGGCCGGGTCAAAAAATACATTGATGTTTTGGCAGGTTGCTGCAAATGCTGGGGTGACTGTTGGAGAGGTTTTTAAATAGTTAAGCTGACATACTTTGACAGACATAAAATCACAGTTTTACACCAACACAAAGATAATTTAAACATCATATTCTTTGACTGCCTAAGTCAGACTTTTAATTGCCAAAGCATCACTAACATCTTTTTACCTTGTTTGTCCACAATATCTCAATTTTCTAAAAGGTGTTATAACTTCTGAGCTGTCAATTTTTTCACCAACACAAGTTTTCTCTGAGGGAGCGCTCCTCTCTTCCATGACAGTATCATGTGGCATTTCCCACCAACTAATCAACCTTACTGTGCATTTGTTGAGTGTAGGTTATCCATTCCATATGATACCATATGATTGTTTGGAATTAAATTTGTTTATGTGATGTGATGTGTGCTATCAAGTAATGTTCCTTATTGACAGTTTATTGATGTTTCACATTTTCTTATAACCCAAATTTTACACGACAATGAGTCTATATGTTGTTTTTATCACCTGGCCCTATTGTGAAACCAACAAGACCATTTAGATCTGGTCAATGTACAGAAGTAATCCAATTGTAATCAGATTAGATTACATTTTCAAGTTATCCAAAGGATAATGTTATTGATTACATATTTAGTCATGCAATTGGGAATCTGTACCAGATTACTCTCCTGCAGTAATTTACCCAATACTGTCCACATGCAGAGAACCCTTTAATCCTGGACGTGCTATTATGATTTTTCTGTTAATAGGTGACAATGGTTTGAAATGCTACATTTTATAATGCACGGGTGTAACATTCTGTGTCCACATAAGAATGGCTGGTTAGCATAAGGATGTGAATGATCCTTGAGGCAGCAAATAATCCAAGGCTATCTTGTGTGGTTACAAAGTGCATATTTTGGAAAAGTACAATTCCTTTCATTTCAGTTGAATATTGGCCAACTTTCTGTCTAGTTAAACGCAACACTTCATCTTCTGTGGAAACAAACTACATAGAGTGACAATAGCAAAAGACTTTTTTTACAGTCATCCTTGTTGTGAATTTTCGTCTTATTTTTCTACCACTGTCCTTTTATCCAGGGGGATTAAAGTAGCTCACCAGAGCAATACTGTAGTAACTCTAGTAGAGACACTGTTACGGAAATAGGGGATCCTTGTTGTTTTTTTGGGATTTCAAATATAAAAATTACCACGTATGCATATAAGGCCAAGGTCTTTGCAGTACAGTATTTCATTAATTAACCCTGGATATTTATATAAACAGGGATACACCACGTCACATATGGGTTAAATTCAGAGGGCACATTTAGTTGTTGTACACTGTGTGCTGTAGTGTGTCAACAATGACAATTAATCACTTTCTCTTGAATGCTTACTTGCATACCAGTTACGTGCATCCCTGTTTATAAAAGTTTTCCCAAACAGTAAGCCAGTATGAGTAATGTGTTTGGCAGTCTGATAACCCATGTTGAGTACTCCAACAATCCAGTTCAGGGTCACTGTCTCAGATGACACGTTGCACAAGGCTAGTCCATCACAGGGCACATGTTTACATTATGGCAATTTAGACATCGGTTCAGCTCACTGCATATTTTTGAAACGCCAGAGGAAATCAGAGTACCCATCGGGGACCCACACTGCAGCGGCGCCGTCCACTGAGCCATCATCTCCGCATTCCAACCCCCCCGCACGATGCAGTCCTCCTGCTTGTCTACCAAGTTCCTTTTATGTTCAAGAAGAATCTTTCCCAAATTCCCTCTGCCAGACAACTTTGTCCTCGCGTTGAGCCGACTTTCCCACATCACACATGACAAAGGCCCACCGAAGAGAGATACATATTCGAAAAAGTAAAATAAGCTTTTGCTTTTCCTGATTACCGCAGTAACTCAGCAATTCAGCTGCAAGATAAAACTATTCAGCAGACCCTCCAGTTGTAAGCCATTCAATCTGCTGTGCGCGATCTAGACGCCTTTTGTTGCCTGAAAGCATGTAGTCATGACTCTCTTCATTAAGTGTCATATTCTTGCATATTTTGATAAAATCCAAAATATTCTTCAGTTGTTTGCCTTAATTTAGAAGAGCAACATGAAACACATGATAAACACAAAACACATCAGTAGAAGAACAGTTAAGTTCTTTGAGCAGTGATCCACTAGCAATGGGCCACGCCTAAAATCCTTCACCTGAGACTCGGGACTTCACGCCGAGATGGTGGCATGGTGGCGCAGTGGTTAGCAGGGTTTGAGTCTCCATCATGGCTCCAAGTGTGTGGAGTTTGCATGTTGTCCCCGTGTTATCGTGGGGTTTCCTCCGGGTGGGTGGAGTTTTCAAATTGTGCATGAGTGTGTGAGTGTGCCCTGCAAAAGGTTGGCACCCTATCCTGGGTTATTACGTGTCTTACTTCAGACTCCCTGTGAGCCTGAATAGGACAAGCCAGTACAGAGGATGGATGGATGGATGGAATGAACTCTGTAGCCAATCAGGATAAGAGCATGCATAAATAATCAGGCTGCCTTGACCCATTATGCATGAATGACAGCGTCCGTCTCCCCCTCTCTCTGCCTGGGAAACAGTAGATCTCCCTTGTCATCACTGCTACCAGACTGATATCACAGCTTTTAAGAAAAACAATCGCTGAAGACCACTCTACACCAGTGGTTCTCAATCTTTTTTGCACCGCGACCCAATTTTTACCATGCTAGCTCAGTTGCAGCCCTATATCAAGTATACATTTAAATTAACGCTATGATCAAGCACACAGTGCACTCTGCAATTTACTAATCAATGACTATCGCACAAATCTGATTGGATGTGCTAGTGAATTTTAAATTAAGCATCTGTGCTTTGGCTTCTTGGATTGGTTGAATGTTCAGCAGTTTTGGACTAAGCATTTGCAGACTAAAGACCCGTTTATATAGGTTAATTCTAGGAACGGGGCTGGGAAATCTGATTGTAGATCAGCTCGCTGGTTTTAAATTGCTTACATTTCCAACTCAGCTTCACGACCCTTTCAGAACTTGCTGCGACTCAAATGTGGGTCATGACCCAAGGGCTGACAATCGCTGGCTAAACAATACAGCTAAAAACAACAACAAAAAACAAGAAAAATTATTCAATTAATCCAATAAGGAAAAGTAAGATGTATATCAAACTTTCAACTGGCACCCCCACTTTAAGGTGGATATTCGAGCCAAATTGGGAACCTTCACCTACTAAGTAAAAACTGCTTTTCTTTCAGACTTAATATTGCTAATTAGGTGACATCTTGGAGATTGTGTCCCCCATAAAAGTGACAGTAAAGGAATACATAAAAAAACTGTGTTATATAAGCAAAATATTGGCAATAGTGTGATATCTAAGCTTGAGATTCCATGTTTTGTCTGATTAATCAGAAACAAGATTATTCTTTGCATGCCATAAGCATAATAATCCAATGTATGGCTACGCAGAGCAGCTAGTGTGTTTGACACCCATCCTCAGCAAAGCGGGGCGAATAATTGTTAAATGGGGTTAATAAAAATGTCAGAGCTTTCCTGCACCCCCTCCGTGTTACTGATGACCTCCCTCCCCTTCCTGAGATTACAAATAATAACTGCTCTCCAAAACCATAACAGTTTCCACAATGAAGCCTGTGACCTTCTTACCACTGTCATGTCCACAGAACCTCCAAATGACAGCCGTGCAAATTAAACTCCATACAACCAATCATTGATCTAAACATCCGAATTTAAAACATGTAAAAAGTATAACACAAGCTCTAGGCTGTTTCTTACTGCTGTCTATCAGGATGCTATTTTTGACATTGGGAGCTTGATAAAATGTGCCACCAGCTTCAGAGGGCGTTTCTGCCCATGTCAAACTACAGCTTCTGGTATCTTTTTTGATGTAGCATTAGTTCAGCCCAAGACTGAAAAGGAAAGGACAGCAGCAATTACTTCAACAGGAGGGAGAGGGAAAGGGGGCAATCATTACTGATTAAGGGTCAGTGAAGCTCTATGATCAACGATGCCAGCTGCGAGCCAAACTGCAGCATCAATGAGTTTGGAACAAGGAAGCACACAACAAATACCAGGGAAGCCAGGTACGGGTCATTAAGGTTAATTAGAATCTGGACCGGTACACAACAGAAGCAGCATGGAATCAACACATGGACAATTGCCATATTCATAAAGGGCACATGCACCATATTTCACCTGAAACCTAAAAATACATAAACAAACAATCAAACAAATAGCCCCAAGTGATTATAAAAAATGCCAAAGACATCGTTCACTGTAGAATTGGTGACAGACCTGTGATGGAGGACTCCCAGTGCATGAAAGATGGCAGGATCTTCCGGACATTTTCCTGAAGCAGTTTTTAAATCCTACAGGGGAAAAATACGAAATGAAAGATTTTTTTATTAGTGCCAATTGTCAACAGTGCAACAGTGCAGGTGCAAATTCAGTAACATTTGAGACCTAAAATAAACATGAGCCAAGGAGCAAAAGAGAAGATAAAGTGAATATTTCAAGGCTTTGATACATACTGCCAGAAAAAAGCACCAAATTGTACATTTTTTTGTGTACAGTACAATTACTTGTCAGTGGGGCTTTAGAATCAAGGGTCTGCCTATTGTACCCTAGCTGTAGGTAAATGCACCTTTTACAGAACAGAAATGGAGCATTTTTGTACCACTGGGGTACATTAATGGTGTGCCAGGGATGTACCCTTTTTCTCACAGTGCACTGGCATGTTGAATGTTTTTTAGGGTCACTTACTTTTCACATCAGCATTACAGACATGAAGTCAACTTCATAGCCATCATTTTGCACATGTGCACTAAAACATTAGAATAGTACAGCGACAAATCCTGATGAACATAACACATTCATCTGCAATGTAGGCACTATGCGAGTTCATCATGGCCTATGATGGCTGTGCACCAATCAAATCAGAGAGGTCAGAGAGGAACCATATATGGCAGGAATATGGAAGATTTACATTATATGGACAAAACTATTGGGATACCTGGCCATTACACCTCCAGGAATAATTATCACATCCCATTCTAAATCCATAGGTCACAATATGGAGTTTGTCCCCCGTTTGCAGCTATATATTTTTATCATATTTATCTTTTTCTACTTTTTATATTTTATATTTGCACTACGAAGATGAGAGAGAAACAATGCCCGATCCTTTTCATCCTCTACCTCCTTCCCCACGGTCAGGTTATCAGTCGCCCTGGAATTTCTTTCCACTGTTATGCTGATGACACGCAGCTGTATATTAAAACAACTGCTGCGGCCCTACCTTCATCATCATCTCAGTCATTGTCATCATCATCATCTCGACTTGCCATCTGTTTGGAGGAGATAAAGGAGTGGATGGGCCACAATTTTCTCCAGCTAAATAGTTTTAAAACTGAGGCCATCATGATACTGTAGGTACCCCCCACCAGGTGAAATCTTCATCCATAACCAGTATCACTTTCTCCAGTCATAATATTCCTCTTTCCTCATCAGTCACTAACCTCGGTGTTAAATTGAACTCCCATCTCACCTTTGAATCTCATATAAATCACCTTTGCAAGGTCTCCTTCCACAATCTCCGTAATATTGCTAAACTCCAACCTACTCTCACTCTACCAGATGCTGAAAAGTTGACCCATGCTTTTGTTTCCTCCAGACTGGATTATTGCAATGCTCTTCTCATTGGGATTCCTAACAAGAGTCTTCAGAGGCTTCAATACATTCAAAACTCTGCAGCCAGGATCCTGATGAGAGTACGGAAATACAAACATATCACTCCCATTCTTCATTCACTTCATTGGCTTCCCGTTTCCACCAGGATTGAATATAAGACTTCTCTTCTCACCCATCAATGTATCTATGGAAATGCCCCTCCCTACCTCAAAGAACTACTCACTCCACAAACCACGACTGGTTCCTTTCGCTCTTCCTACTCAAACCGACTTCAAATACCCAGAACCAGATTAAGCACCATGGGGGATAGGGCTTTCTGTGCCGCTGCTCCTCGTCTGTGGAATGCTCTCCCTGACACTTTGAGAGCATCGCAATCTACTGACAGTTTCAAAAGAGGACTAAAAACATTTCTTTTTAGTAAAGCATTTAATCATTAAACCTTCTCTTTGTAATTGTTTTTTAATCTTCTTTCTTTTAAAATCTTAGTCTTGATAAGTTTTTTTGTTCCTTTTGCTTTTTGATTCTGTAAGCACTTTGAGATTTTTGGTAATGTAAAGTGCAGTATAAATAAAATAAAAATTAAAAAAAATTCGATTCTCTTGTATGTTATGGACATATAGTGAATTGACAATAAAAGGCTATTTGATTTGATATGATTTGATTGATAACAGCTGCCACTCTGCAAGGAAGGCTTTCTACAAAATTCTGGAGTGTGTCTGTGGGAATTTTTGCCCATTCATCCAGTAGAGCATTTGTGAGGTCAGGCACTGATGTTGGATGCAAAGACCTGACTCACAATCTCCGTTCTAGTTCATCACAAAGGTGTCTGATGGGGTTGAGGTCAGGGCTCTGTATGGGCCCGTCAAGTTCTTCCACACCAAACTTACCCAGCCATGTCATAATGGACCTTGCTTTGTGCACTGGGGCACGATCATGCTGGAACAGAAAGGGCCTTCACTGGAATTGAGGGGCCAATCCCAACCCCTGAAAAACAACCCCATACCATTATCCCTCCTGCACCGAACTTTACAGTTGGGACAATGCAGTCAGGCAGGTAATATTCTCCTGGCATCTGCTAAACCCAGACTCATCCTTCAGACTGCCAGACAGAGAAGCATGATTTGTCACTCCACAGGACACGTTTCCACTGCACGAGTCCAGTGGCAGCGTGCTTTACACCACTGCAGCCGACGCTTGGCATTGCACTTGGTGACATGAGGCTTGCATGCAGCTGCTCGGCCATGGAAGCCCATTCCGAGAAGTTCCTGGCGCACAGTTTTTATGCTGGGATTAATGCCAGAGGAAGTTTGGAACTCTGCAGTTATTGAGTCAACAGAGTATTGGCGACTTTTATGCACTGTGCGCCTCAGCACTCAGCGACCCCATTCTGTTACTTTACGAGTTTCTGTTGTTCCTATATGCTTCCACTTTGCAATAATACCAGACGAAATTTCACAAACTGAATTATTTAAAGGTGGCATCCTATAACAGTATCACACTTGAATTCACTGAGCCCTTTACAATGACACATTCTTCTACAAATGTTTGTAAACCTGACTGCATGGCTTGGTGCTCGGTTTTATACACCTAGTGTCCCAGTACTTTTCCATACAGTGTATGGTGTGTATGAGGGGAGTTATATTCTTAAGGCATTCCTTCACACACTCTTCACAAATGACTTACAGTAGGTAGAGTATGGCAGCACCCTACAGAAAAATTGCCTGTGCATTCAGACAATAAATAGCTCTCTCCATTCTATTATTTTCCTGGGTTAATTTCTGTCATGACAGAGCAGCATTCAGGGAGACCAGCACGTAATAATGCCATGTGGTAATAACCTACAAACACCCCCTACAGACATTTATTTTTATCTTAGGAGCACTTCTGCCCACTGGCACAGATGTGGATGGTTTAGAGGGTAATCAATTAACCCCAGCTCTATTTATGGAGACGTTCATTAATAGCTAACAAATAATGCCTCAGTCAAGCCAGCATGATCTGAAGGAATTGCTGGCGGCAAAAATATCAGCCAGTGAGTTGACTTGTCAGCTTCATGCCATGAGGTATCCATGACAACCTGGTCACATGCTGGGTGGCATTTCTTTGCCCTTTGACCTGTACCTGACACCATATATAATTAGAGGTACATTTATATAATGAAATCAACATGCAACAGTATAAAAATAATTTTAATAGCTTAAGTCGAGTTCCAGCTGGCACAAAAAAGCAGCTTTCAAGCCTAATTTAATTAATTACAGTTGGATTGATTTTATTTTAAAATGTCCTCCTCTGTAAACATTAATGCTCTACTCAATGCACATAATAAAAAGCTTGTTATCCTGCATCATATAAATATTAGTACAGTGTAATCATTTCAAAAATAAAATTCACAATTCCCCACAGACTGAAAAGCAGAATGTTGAATTATAATTCCTACACCATGTTATAAATAAATGAGGATTTTTTGTAGGATATTTTAGAGTAACAAGCTTGATGCAAGGTATTATCTTAAGATTTGCATTATCTCTGTTGAAGAACATTTGAGTTCAGTGAACATGAAGCTGCTTTGAAATCAAAAATACTGATCACTACTGCAGTGTGGATTTCTCCTTATGCAGGACATGTTCCCAATAAGGTGCCCTTTAAATGATGTTAAATATGAGCTGTGTTCCACTAGTGATTCCTTGTTCCAGTGAGAGCATGGCAGTCTGACAAACCAGGTGCTGAAAGCATCTTTCTTCCCATTTTGGGTTCAGCGCTCGCAGGCCATTATCTACCCACGCATGAATCATTACTACTGCACTCCCTACCCTTCCTGGGTACCAGGTGGAGGGAAGCCAGGCCTGAGACAGGCTATAATTACCTTCATTGTGTGTTCCAGAAACACATTTAGAGCTTAGAGAGAAGTCCACCTAGACTTTGCTTGCATCTCAGCTGCAGGGAGGCATTTCTGCCACCTCACATGACTTCACTTACACTTGACTCAGGGCAAACCTTAAAGAGAATGATTTTGTATATACGAGAAGGTTGGGGGGGGGCACTGTAGCCTCACACCTCCAGGGCTGGTGGTTTGAACCCCAGGTCTGCACTGTGTGCCTGCGGTCTGCATGCTATCCTGTGCTATGCGACTTTCGTTCTTCTTCAACTGCAATAGTGTAATTGGTGTCTGCATGTGTCCCTTGTGACGGACTGGCATCCCATCCAACGTGTGTCCCTGCTTAGTACCCTGTGCTGCCTGGGATTGATTCCAGCCCCCCCTGGAACCCTGCCCAGGATTAGTGGTTGGAGGACAGATGAATACATTGTAAGTGATTAGACAGACAGACAGACAGACAGACAGACATGTTTTGCCAGTCAGCTTCCTGTGAACGTGACATGCCCTCACTTACCTGCAAAGCATTGTGACAGTCATTCAACTCGACATGGAGCAGGGCACGATTTATCAGTACTTTGAGGTCAATCTCCTTTCCGTTGGCAAGAAGGAGGACAATCCCATAATCTCTCAAAGCCTAAAAATCAATGAAAAAACAAAAAAGAGAATACCATAGAGAGAGATCATGGCTGTCAATTTATACTCAGTAAATCTTTAGTGAACAATCAGAATAAACAGTGAAAAAAAAATTCCTCTATACTATATACATCAGAAATGAACAATTATTCCCAGATTTTATACCAAGATATTTTAAGAAAGCCAGCAACTACCCCTTATTTTCTTTAAAGTTGTATTTAATATTTTAATTTCCTTCAGATCTTGTTTTTACATGTTTATGGGAAGAAAATAGATACCAAATGTAAAAAAAAAAATCACTGGCATTCTCATAGTCAGTAACATCTGTGCTTCTGTCATCAGTATTAAGCAAAAAAAAAAAAAAAAAAGCAAAATGCATTTAAATTTTATCTAGCGGATGCTTTCATCCAAAGCAAGAAAGCAGGATCAAACACATATAGAGTATATATAAAGATAGAAGTAAAAGTCAATATACAGATTTATATATATATGTGTGTGTGTGTATATATATATATATATATAGCCTTCTATTCCAGAAATGGTGTGTAACAGTCATGGGACCAGTGATAATGGAATATTAGAAAGTGTAAATTCAAACACCCAGGAAACGTGTGATGCTGCAGGTGCGTAACTCTTGCTAACGCTGAAAACATGTCAAGGCCATCGCTATGAATGGCAGGTATAACACTGCATTCAGGTTCTCTTCTGTTTGGATGTGTTTATTCGGGCACTAATCCATATTTATGAGTCAGTACTGGTCTCTGTTATGTATTAGGGTGCATGCCTGATACAGAGCTTTTGGAATATGGAGCATGAAATGTTTTTACACGTAGCTAAAAAATCATTTCACACTCACTTTCACATGTAGCCAAAAACTTTTTCACACTTGAACATTCTTGCTTTGTACCAGACCACATATTCCATCACTAAAATATGCTTTAATGTCAGCCTAGTTACAATTATAACATACTTCTTGTGTAACTTGTTTTCAGTAACATTAATACGTACTATAAACCTTCCCTATCATTTTTATAATAGGAAATAAGCAATAATGTTCATTGGGTTATTGTGTCCCTGATCAGAAAGACAAAAGCAGCTGGTAAGAGCCATAAATGCAGCATGCTTGTGTGTGCTGTCTCTAGGAGATTATTAATATTGTTTATCTCTAAAATTATCTAAATTATCTGACATTTGTACCACAGTTCTGATGGTTTGTACCATTTGTAGCAGACAGTGTTATTACTGTCTTGTCTACAGTGTTTTCTGTGAGCTCCAGAAGATCCACATTTTTGCTCCCTCCCAGTTCCAGAAGCAAAAACATGGACTGTCTGGGGGTCCCTGAGGACCAAATTGGGAAACACTGGTTTAATACATCACAGACCTTAACATCATTTTTGAAAGATAGTCCACATCATTCTCTTCACATGGGGGTGGTCATAATGTTTTTGTCTTATCAATGGATGTTTAAATATAAATTATTATGAATGTGGTTTTTCCGCTATTTTTTTAAGTGTATATTTTTAGCATAGATTAAAATTTTATTCCTACATAAGAACATAAGAAATTTACAAACGAGAGGGGGCCATTCGGCACACCAAGCTCGTTTGGGGAGAACTTAACTAATAGCTCAGAGTTGTTAAAATCTTATCTAGCTCTGATTTAAAGGAACCCAGGGTTTTAGCTTCCGCTACACTAGCAAGAAGACTATTCCATACTCTAACTACACGCTGTGTAAAGAAGTGCTTCCTCAAATTTGTTTTAAAATGTTCTCCCACTAATTTCCACTTATACTACAGTGTATATTTTGTACAGCTGAATCACTTATTCTGAATAATATGCTGGTGAGGGATAAATGAACAAGCTTGACTTTTCAAGATGTGTTTTTCACTGATATCCACCAGCACCCTCCTGTCTGTGGAGCTAATGGAATCTCTGAGACTAGGGGTAGCAGAAGGGTCTACGTGGATTTGGGCAGGTGAAAGGACTTGCTTGAGGCACGTCTTGTTTTTGTTTGTCTGAATCAGTCCCTGTCCTGTTCTGTCTGTCATTTCCCTACTTGACCAGCAGGTGTTGCTGACCATTCCATTCTAGCGTTTGAATCCTATGTGGTTGTTAATGACACACGTCTGATGCTTGTCATTCCTAGCCTTAGTGTTTGGTTTATTGTCAATAGCCTGCACCTGTTTCTTGTCTGGGCCTTGTTACCTTTGTGTATATGTGCCCGCCTTTGTTCTGCTCCTTAGTTGGTCATTGTATGTGTTACCCAGTATAACTGCCAGGCCAGTGTTTAACCAACCTGCCTTTGTTGTGACCCCTCGCGGTCCCTTTTGTTTTGTGTGTGTCTGAGTTCAGTTTAAAATAAAGTTTAGTTTGCTGTAAGCTGCATTGTGGATCACCTCTCCATCATGGCCTGCCATGCCATTGTTTGGTTTGGTTTATCTGAGATAGTCTTCATTCAAAGATCACTCACTTAGCGCCTTTCAATGAATATCTGCAATGACGGTACTTTATTTTTTTTTTGGATTTGATTTGATTTGCAGTACTAAAATCCTTTCTTCTGGAATCTACTCTCCAATCAGCTAGCTGGCCATCAGCAGCTCCAGGGTCAGGCCAAAACAGAAAGAAATATGCATTAATTTGTACCGGTCCCACACACCAGTTTGTGCTGCTTCATATGATGGTAGCACACGCCCCGGTTGTAGTACGCAAATGAGCAGGTGTCATCAGTTTGGATTGCTGAGGTAAAGTCCTCCACTGCTCCACTGTACATCTGTAATGAAATGAAAGTTAAAGATTAAAAATGTTACATTATATGCTTTGTGGGGGGTACAAGGAGTCACTGGTGTAACGGCAGTAAGTTGTGTAATCTTTCCAGTCACTGAAATGAGATTTTTGTAAGGGTATCATTCCAAGCGCGTCAAACCCCTCTGCGATAGCAACCACTGCTGTGAAAACAACCCAGTTCAGGTGACCTTCTGCCATTCCTGCTTGAGTCTGTAGATATTTTTACTTTGCATGGGAGGGGCAGATTCTGGAGGCCCAGCATTTTTTAGGGGCCCCAAACTCAATCATGCCCCCCACTGCACGGCATTTCTAGCTACACCCCTGACTCCAATGCAGGATAAATGGTGTTAGATTAGGCATATCTGTATGGGTAGACTTTAAATGAAATGGGTGTAATTAGTCAATTGAATCGACATCCAGCCAAGTTGCAATCTGATGTTATACAACAATTCCTCCCTGTGCCTGATACTGAAGACAGCTGAGATAGTGACACTCAGTGACAGTGCATGGCTTCTTATGTATGTATAATAGACCTGCACCACATTTACTCACCATTAGTAGATGTACGAAATGGCCAGGCTTCACTTTTTTTTTTTTTTTTTTTTACTGAAGTTAATTATCGGATGACTTCTACTGCAAGCCAAAAAAGCCTGAGCACAACCTAATGGATTTCCTTTTCATTAGTTCCCACCCTGACACCTTCCTTTCTTTCTTGGTTCCCAGCAATAAGTTTAATTCCTATTTGGCCCGGACAAATTCGATGTAAATGATGTTGATTAACAGAGCCTAGTTTGCTCGCTATTAACAATGCACTTGTTCCCATCTGAGGCATTAAAGTAACAGCCTTTTCATCGTCAGTTTGCATTAAATTTCCTTCTATGCACATCTAAAGGGCAGCAGGCTTATTTCCATAATTAGCTACAGTACTTCTGTCTATCAGGCATATAAACTGCTTTAAAGCCACCAGCAGGATGGGGCCAAAGGGCTTTTCTCCAGAACTGCTGCTCCACTCAGAGTAAACTTCAAAGTGGCCAGTAAAAATTAACTTTCAAACACAGAAAAAAAAACATGGAAATCGGCAGTGACCATGATTGCAATATAAAAGTGGATCCTAGGTTGATTAGCTATATTAACTATAGGGTTTTTAACCTGTTTTCTGGTGATAATTCCTTTATTTTCTATAAGATCTTCTATTTTAGTTAAAATTTGGTTCAGGCTCCCCAGTGTCTCGGGGACCTGCAGACAGTCCACGTTTTTGCTCCCTCCCAGCTCCCAGTAGGGAGTAAAAATGTGGACTGTCTGGCAGGGAGTTGGGAGAGAGCAAAAATGTGGACCGCCTGTGCGTCTCCGGGGACTGTGTTGAAAAACACTGAATTAAAGTACAGTAATAATAGCAAATAATAAGCCTTATTCCTGATAATAAGGAACATTACTGTGCTATTCTTAGCAGAACCCCCTCAGTGCTCTGTGATAAAAGTTCATTATGGAAAATGCCTGTTGGGCTTCCATCTGTCGCACATGCTGAAACACCTGTATGGCTGAGCAGAAGCGTTGAAGCTGAGCGGGTGGGTCGCTAACATACTGTGTACGAGCACAGAATACAGTGCAGGCCGCTGTGCAGTGCAGATCTGACTCTGCTGCTCAGGTCACTAGTCTTAGGCTGTTATGGCACCAGTGCAACATTTTCCTTTTAGGGAAGCATCTTATTTTTGTAACTGACAACGGGGGAACACTGCTTGTAATGGATTTCTTATGAAAGAGTGTGTAACAAGGCAGAAGTAGCATGACTGATCAATGGATTGCTTGGCAATCAATGTGTCATTATTAGCAGCATTAACACTTGCAAAGTACAACAGTATTTTGCATTCACTTATTCTTCAGAAGCAACGGTAAATGTCAAGCTCTGTTTCCCCCAAAAGCCTGCTTACAAGCGACACAAAAATCTATTGTTCAAATTGTTCACTGGGAAAAAATGAACATATACTCAGAATGCAGGGAGTGCAGGGAAAAGACAACATTTCAAATACTGTGCAATGTTGTGTGCCAAAGGTTTTTTATGTTTTAATTACAATGGCAGTTACTTTTTAATACAAATCGATAACAATGAAAAACTGAAAAATGAAAAATGATGTCCCATAAAGGTGATGGGTGGTCAACATTTATTAATGTCAGAATAGACATAGACAATAGACAAAGAATACAACCTGACTTCGACAGAGAATGATAGAATTATATCACAGCTGCTATAAATTCCACTGATGCTACAATTAAAAATACTTAGAAGGCTTTTTTTCTCACCCTTCTGCAGAACTTGAGTGTCCCTCTCTGCAGGTAGGCCCTCACACTCTTGGGCTGAACCTGAATTGCCTTGGTGCAGTTGAGGATGGCTTTAGCGAATCGCCCTTGGTCTTCATAGAAGGCGGCCCGGCTCAGGTACACCTAGCAGCACAGCACAAAGGGCACAAGTAAATGCTACCATTGTCCTGCCAAAAAGTAAAAAAGAATGTCAAGGAGATCAACACAGTTTTAAAAAGTCAATAAGATATTTGTGCCTATGTGAGAGTGTATCATTTGTTTTAAGGGCTTTACATATAATCCTTAGAGCTTGAGGTGCTTTCTAAGCTATTTCTGGTGGTGTTAAAAGTATCCAACGTAAAAAGTATCCCAAACATGGACCACAGATACACAGATCAAATGCTGCTGAAAGAACTGCCCTTTGGAAACTCACCAGCCAAGTTTCGATTTCAGTCTAAAATTCCACACCATGGTAAACCGATAAAACAAACCTATAACACAGTAAAAGCTGGAAGAGTATTGATGTAAATTTATTGATTAATTTCCATTCCTGTATTTACAATAGCACCTAATTAGGTTTCCATATATGTATCCTGGCTCTACGGGTGTGGAGTTTGCAAGTCCTCCCCATGCTTGCAGCAGATTCCTCTGGGATCTCTCGTTCCCTCCCACAGTCCAAAAAACTCACGGTTCGGTGAGCTGGTGTTTTTAGATTGCCTGAGTGCGTGTGCCCAGCGATTTACTGGCATCCTGTTCAGGGTGTCCCCTGCCTTGTTTCCTGTGCTACCTAGGCCAGCTTCTAGACTCTCTGTGACCCTGAACAGGATATGAAAGATGATGGTCGCATATTCTGTCAAATTTAGGATGTTGAAAGGATCCAGAGTTTTGTATGAGGGTGTCGAGAATGAAGCCTGAGCTGATAAGTGTGGAATGCTCCCTGGAGCTTCGGCATGGCACAAAGCTGTGAAGATGCGGATTGCCAACAGCCCATTCTCACCATGTGTTTGCTGCTCGGGTGAATCTCGCCTCCGAAGGCTCAGATCCAAAGGCGAGGAACGGAAAAAAAGCCATACCTGAAAACAGGACGGGTCGACGGCAAGGGCGCGGTTGAAGTCCTGCACGCTCTCCGGCTGCCCCAGGCGCATGCGGCAGAGGCCGCGTTGATGATAAGCGTCTGCGAGATTTGGATTGATCTTCACTGCGCCGTTGAAAGCATCCAAAGCCTAAGGAAAAAGCAGTGTATCACAAGTGAAGAACACGAGGTACACACACGTACAGTTACGCACAGCCAACAGCGAGCCAGCATGGAGAGCTGCACACTCTGCACACATTACTGAAGTAGCTATCTGAGCAACAACCACCATCAACAGATTCATAGCTATCAAGGCTGTTCTTGATCAAAATAAAATATTACTATTATTTTAATAAGCCCACGTAACAAACTGTTTATTACAGGGAGTGATTTCTGGTGTTTATTGTCCTGCAGTATTGCTGCTGAATTCACTATTAGTAGGTTTTGGATTGTTTTATTTTGGAAGAATTTGTAAATTCCTAAAAAATGCTATCAATTTGTTTGACAAGGACTGCAATTTATTAGTATCAAAAAATGAGTTCAGCTCTTATCAAGAAACCAGCTTGTAATTACAAAGGGTAAATCTAAAACCCAAAATGAATATCACACATGAAAATCGTTAAATAAACAGCTTATGTCAAGAATGTCTTCAGTATATAAATAAATATATTTATTTATGACTGATTCCTTAACGAAGTGACACAGTATGTAGTACTCTTGCCTCAAGGGTCAAGGGTTAAACCTGCAACTACATCCTGGATAAGCAGCTTGACCGATGGCTGGAAGGATGAATGGATGGATTGGACAATTTATACTCCAATACCTTTATATTTAATTTTGATCTTTGAATTTAAAAGTGTGTGTTACTAGCTCTGTGGCTCATCCAGGACCTGAGTACTTAATTTTGCTCCACAGCATGTGCGAGCATGTGTGGAATGACAATAAAGTTCTTTCAAGAATCTTGAATCTTGAATCTAATAGTAAATGTTTGCTTTTATTAACAAAATATCCCACTATATCCTATAAACCTCCAGATGAAATAAATTAAAAATCAAGTGTCAGTGTTTGGACAAGGCTATTTATAAACCAAATGGATTCTTTATACCTTGTTGTGACTAAATTAGGTTTGGGAGATTGTAAAGATCCCTCCACAAGCCCTGATAACATAATAAAATCCTGGTATCCCAAAAATCAGAGAGCCATCAGAAAGTCCTCTTCCCCCATTTAGTGTTTTGACCTTTAAAAATGTTCAAGTGCAAACCAGCAGCTGTTCTGCATGTACAAATCAAACATAACATATAGGGTAAATTCCAAAATGCAAAAATGCCTTTGCCCCCCCCCTCCTCAAAAAATACTGACATGTGAAATTCTAAAGCCCAGAAATCAGAATCAGAATGTTTATTGCCACACAACCAAATCCGGTGGAAATTTTTGTTGTTACAGCTTGCTACCATTAGGGACAAGACAATAAACAATTAAAAATTTCAGACAGAGAGTAAACACAAGACACAAAATACACACAGGAGATGAGTAAAGGAGTAAAGCCAAGACACTTGAGGCCTTTTGATACTGCAAGTTTCAGTTCGTACTGTTGCAAACATTCCAGCTGCATAGTGGTTCTGTGGCAGCGCCATAGCCTCACAGCTAAAGGTCGGTGGGTGTCCCCCCCCCCCTCCCCCCCGGCACTGTGCCCTGCAGTTTGCATTAATCCCCACATTCATTGGTGAGTAATTCAGATCCAGAGAGTAAAATCCAGACCAAGCAGTTGAATAGAACGAATCACTGACACTGTAAATGCATATGAGATATGTGCAAAGTATAGAAATATGAAAAAAATATATATTTTTATATTTTTTATGCAGAGCCCTATGGCCTGGGGGACAAAAGACTTCCTCAGTCTGTCTGTCAAGCAGGACAGTGACAGCCGTCTGTTACTAAACAAACTCCTCTGATTGGAGAATGTCCTGTGCAGGGGGTGACAGTGGACAATGAGCGTCACCCCCTCCACAGAACATTCTCCTGACTTCTCCTGAGGTCTAAAGGGCCCTTAGTTTGTGATTGTGAGCGAAGCTGTCTGCCTTGCAATAAACTACCATCCCATTCAGGGTTCAGGGTCCCCTGCCTCATTGTAACTTTGCCCGAGATAAGTGGTTACGGAAGATGGATGGATTAAATGTGAGTGTGGATAAAAAGGTGTTTGCATAGTAAAGACATTATGCAGAGCATTATAGCATTCAGTGATTATTCGTGCACCTTTCTGACATTCTAGGCCTTGACTGATTAATGGTTTTTCATTATGCTTTTTACAATAGATATAATACAGCCAGTGAAGCAGGGACCTGATGGATGGCCCTGATTCTGAACAGGCCACAAGCTTTCCATACTTCTCCACTGGCTGTGGCTTTGAGGTTTTCCTCCTGAACTCCTTCACCACCATCACTCATAACTGTCAGCACGAACGGTCCCTCAAGGTGACAAATTAGGCTTCTAAATGAATCACTTTCATTTCAAGCTTTTAGTCTTATCTCTCATATGGGAGCGCATTTGTTGTGGAGATCAGCTGCTGTTATAAAATTTATATTTTTTAATGGCCTTAAACATTAACTCATGATGTCTCCACCCTGAGAGTTAGGTGGCAAACAGATTCATCATAAATGTAATCTGTTAAAATGACTCAGGAGGATGCTATTATCCATCTCCAAGTATGTGCTTTACTGTTAAACATACAAAAGTGCTTTATGTTATTTGTGACATATTTTACATCTTGGCATTAAAACTATTCTTTTTCTCTATTTTTCACTCATGGTCAATTTCATCCAAAGGTTCAGTCTAATACAAAATGAAGTGACAGAAATTTTTACTCTAATGGAAGAAAGTGCACATTTTATAAGATCTCGTTAGTGCCAGGCGGTTCATGATTTTATCATTCAGAACTGTCACCAAAATCACCTCCTTTGATAAGTATCCGGCATATTTTCAATTAATTTTTACACTGTTACGCGGGAAAGATACCTGTGACAAATTGTCCTGGGCCACGTAACAGAGGCCAATGTTGTAGAAGACCTCTGCTGCCTCAGGATCTGGGATCAGAAGTGTCAGCGCCTTCCTGAAACTCTCCACTGCTTCCTGGTTTGACCCGATAAGAGAAACAGTGGCGTCATTGTGAGAAGACTGTGGCAGCTATTCACAAACAATAGTAAAAATCAAATAAGGTCAGGAGAGAGGGTGAAGCCAGGAAAGGGAAAGCTATAACGATGGCAGAAGTGCTTAATCATCTAACGTGATGCAGCCGACAGCATTAGCTACATTGAAGATGAGTGCCTCTGATGAAATGCCGTTATCTGTAAGCTGAGGCTCGCCACAGGTACTCGGCTAAGCAGCGGCGTAACCCAACCCTGTAAAACTAGACGTAAACAAACTGTTCACCCTGGGTGCCCTTCCACAGATGACTGTTTGACTCGGAAATAACGACTCCCCCCACCTCATGCTGCGAAGAGCGTTATCTGGAAATCAGCCTTGTCACCGTCCCTTACAGCCAACGTCATCCAGGCCAAGATTGTGACACCATAGCTGCTGTAGCTGGGCCTCACCGAGAACTTCTGGGTCTTCATCTGAGTCTTCCCCAGCAAGAGGAGGCCATGCAGGGAGGGGGGGGTGTTGGTAGCTGCCTGTAACTGGTTGATGACCTTTGAGTCGTTCCCCAAAAAGGCCTGGATGGCCGCTTGTTGGACCAGCGACGACTCCCAAACGGCTGGGAACGCTGTGACAGAGGGATTCACTCTTACTGAATCAGAAGATGACAATGATCCATCCGTCACCATTACGCATTTCTCCGAGAGACATTTACATCTCATCTGCACACACCTGACCTTTCAAGAAATTTAATTTTCCAAACAATTTATACTGATTCACAGCCTATTTCACAGAAATTATTTTTAATCATATGTTTTCATATGATTAAACCATATGCTCATTGTCTAACATATGCATTTATTACATGATTTGTAACATTTACACCATAAATTATTCACTGAAGCAGTGAGAACTGTCTCCCTCAGCAATCGGCCCATTTTACAACATTGCCATCTAGTGTTTCCATGTGCAAAGACATTAAGTCCATGTGCCTCAGCTAAAAACACTGCATAATAGCACTTAAGAAAAATGTACAACTGCACCTTTATCCATCTGCGCTGCATAGTGTATATAGAAAGATGCCAGATCAAATCGCTCCATGTCACACAAATACTGCCCCCTGAAACAAAGGGAAAAAGTGTGTTTATAGAACAGGCAAATTACAAAAAGAATTTAAATGAGCTGGTTAGCATAACCAAAATATTCTTGCACTGTTTTAGTCAAACAATTTAATTTAAAGTAACAAATGTGTTTAAGTGCTTCACATAGAAGAAGATTATTATAAAAGTCACGCAAGCAGGAAGACTTTCCTGATCTGCCTGTGAATGAGCCAAACCAAACAAGCGAATCACTATCCTATATACAGTAAATCAATGGGCAGCCTGCACTATAACATTTGCAGGTAAACACAGCAATCTGCACCTCATGATGTAGAGAAGCTGATCGTCGGGTTTCATGTGGATCGTGCGGCTCAAATCGTTCACAGCTCGCTTGAAGTCCTTCACCTGGGGACAGATTAACCGGCATGATTGCTCGTTATTGTCAAGTCCTTTTTAAAACGCATGGATAAGGAGGAAGGAGACTGGTGGTTAGAAAAGCCTGAGAGCCAATAGGAGGACAGTATGACCGACAGAGTACGTACATTGTGAAAGGCCTGGGCCCGGCATATATATCCCTGTATGTGAGTGGGCCTGGTATTCAGAGCACAAGTGAAAACTCGGATGGCTTCGTAATTCCTGTCCATCTGGAGCATGTAGATGAGCCCCAGGTTCATGTGTGCCAGCACCACAGACCTGCATCGGGGGACGGGGGTGGACATGAGTTAGCAGGCAGTCCTCCTTTTAGCTGCATTCTCGTCAGACCAAAATTAAAACCACGCAAAATCAAACAGACAATTAGAGTAAATGTAGAGATTCCAGACCCCACCACTGACCCTAGCCCACGTAAGCATGGAGAAGATGGACGCGTGCATTTGTTTGGGTTTGAAAAGGCCAAACACATTCGATGTGTTAGACAGATACCAGTCGAAACTGCGCAGACATTAAATGTCAAGGCTTATCGCAGCATGACTGGCATCGCAGATCGTATCACCATGGTACTGAAAAATCTCTTGCCCATTTAAGTACTGAAATAAAGCCCATATCTCAGTGGAGTGATGTGCACAATGGCAAAAAAGCACCCAGTTATTACTTTTTTTTTCTTTAATGGATATAATTTTCACCACCTTTCATATTATCCATTACCCTGCTACCTAGTTTAGTAGAGAGCCAACTGCAGGCACAATGTGGACCTACCAGGAGCCAATGCAGTAGCGAAAGGCACTAGCCTACATTATTTCACAGGCCGCTCCAATGTTTTATTGTGAATGGAAGCAGAAAGACAGCAGCTCATGGCTCAATGTAAATACTACAATATAATTGTATATTTTAATACAGACATCAGAAGAATATGACTGCTGGGAGGAGGGGTTTGTGTGTGTGTGTGTGTGTG